GGGTGTGTGTGTGTGTGTGTGTGTGTATATATATATATATATATATATATAAAACCATGAGTTATTCTGTATATAATGTAATAATATACTTCCTCAGTGTGTTTCACCTACCATCACCACCCAATCAGTGACTACTATCTTTTAATTTACTGCCTTAATAACACCCACCCTTCCCCCCACACAACCTTACCTTCAAAATAACTGCAACTCTCTTACTGAAGTCTTTCTGCTTTCTGTCTGATCCTCTCCAATCCATAAATTACATAGGACCCCAGAGGAATTCTATCTAAAACATTTGCTTCTGTAACTCTCCTCCTTAAGACTTTTTAATAATTCCCTATGGTCTACAGCAGTGGCCTAATTCACTGATGCATCGGAATCCCTGGAGGAGCTACAGAGCTCTGATCCCACCTTAACTTAGCCCAGATTTGTCTGAATCCGAAGCTACAGGTGAAACCTGAGTATCTGTAATTTTATGAAATGCTTAAGTGATCTCAGGCAGACACTAAAAATCACTTGGCCTACTGGATACAAATTCAAAGCATTAGCTTGGCATTCAAGGCCTATTTCTAGCTCCTTACCTCTTCCACAAATTTTCCCATATGAACTTCAAGCCGTACCACCCTGTTTCAGTTCTTCTGTTTTAAGTCTATTTTGCCCCCCTGTGTCTTTGCTTACATGGCCATTCCCTCCAACTGGAATGACATTGCAGTGCTCCCAACCATTTGTCTCCCTTGCCATGTTATCTCATAATTCAAGTCCCAGCCCAAGAGGCCATCACCTACTCCATGAAGCCCTTCTTTAAAAAAAAAAAAAAAGATTTAATTTATTTATGAGAGAGAGTGAGGGGGAGAAGCAGACTCTCTGCTGAGCAGAGAGCCCAATGCGGGACCCAATCCCAGGACCCTGAGATCATGACCCTACCTGAAGGTGGACACCCAATTGACTGAGCCACCCAGGCGCCTCCATGAAGCCCTTCTTGACTCTGTATGCCTTAGATGGAATATGATCACATCCCCAACTTGCACAGTCCTTTCAGAAGCACCTATAATGTTTTATATCACAAATAATCTATGTATGTGTCTGTTTCCCATCCATCATGTGGCATTCATTGATGAATTTCCAGTGTCTAGCCCAGATACTGCCTAAGCACTTCCCGCTCAACTCACCTCCCTCTTTCCTTCCTCCTTGATTTACTCTTAAGCCTCACAACAAAGTTGGAAAACAGCCATGTTGCCTTTTAAACAACATCTCAATTTGAAGGCCAAGATAGATCCTAAACAACTTTTGAGTTCTAATTAGGACACTGCTAAACTATATCAGATAAATGAAAACCTCTCTTTAAAAATACCAAATATTTAACAATATCTACTTGATCATAGTATCTCCCACTTCCTGCCTACAGATTCTTCCTCGTATCTAACCCAAATCCCTGAGAATATATTTTTCCTCTGTCCTCAGCAAAAATGGAGAACAGCTCCTTGACATACTCTTACCTTGCCTTACTTTCCTTCTATATTACAATTAAACACAGAGTTTAACAAAATGTAATCTAGGATAAAAACTGAGAAGGAAACTGTGTCATACCTGGCATCTTTTTTAACTAGGTGACAGTGAATTAAAGAGCTGGTGGAAGTGTCATTGTTAGATAAACATATATGAATTGTTCAACTTGATGAAAAGCTCTTTCCATTCTGCAAAGTGATCATGTGGTCTCTGACACAGTACCTTACTAGTTCCCCTTTGCCATTATTATGAACAGATAAGTTGCTGTCAGGCAGAGCCTGCTTTCCCTTATCCTTGGCCACTGTTTATTTTCCTCCACAGTTTCTGTTCTGGAATCTGCTTTGGTATACTAGACTAGGAGTTGGAAGCCTGAGATTCCATCATAAATTGTGATACTAACTTGTTGCCATAGCAACCTTGGACCAGTCACCTTTTATCTTGACCCTCAGTTGTCTCATCTTATAAAACCTGCATTAGCAGAGCACTTCAAGTACATAAAGCTCACTGATAACACATTTATCTCCTGAGATCTGCATAACCACTCTATGAGGCAAACAGATGAGTCAGGGAAAGTTTGGGGAGGTTAAGCAAGTTGTCTGAAGTGGTACAGCTAGAAAGTAGCAGGGTTGTAATTTGAACTCTGGTTTTAATTCCTAATCTAGCACTCTTTCTAATATACCAAACTGCTTTCTGGTATCTATAAAACAAGGGTGTTGGATTAGAGATGTTTAACTTAACAACAATTATATGAACAGCATTTCATAAATTTTAAAATACCTTCACATTCATTATCATCTATGAACAGCATTTCATAAATTTTAAAACACCTTCACATTCATTATCATCCATTCTGTCAATAAGAATGTATTCAGGACCTACCATAAACCAGGCACCATTAGATTAAGGATACAGTGATGAAAAAGTCATACAAAGTGACTGACTGCCTTTAGGAAGCTTCTACTTTGGGGGAGGTACATGAAACAAGCATATAAAGACTCAAAAAATAATTTCAGCTACTGATAAGTACAGCAGGGTAAGGAGATAAACAGTTGACTGAGAAGTATCTTATTTAATTTCCCCAACAACCCTTCCATATAGAGATTTTCATTAATCCCATTCTCCAGATGAGCAAAAGGAGTCAGAGGAGCTAAGCCACTGAGCAACAGAGCTGGGCCTAGACACAGTAACTTCGGACTATGTGTTCCACGCTCCTTCCATTCTGCTGCCTTGTTCCTGGTACTAGTTTTCTAGGATTCCATGATTTAGTCTCCAAATGACCGACTCTTGAGTACTTGGTTCAGTAATGCCCTATCTCCAAAGGAGGATGAGATGTAGGCTAAATGCTCTGTGATCGTGAGATCAGGAGCACCAGACAGTTAGCTTTCAAAGCAGAACCAGGTTGTGGGTTCACTTGTTTATCTCTATCAATTCCTTGAGAGTTGCAGAGTTTTTTTGTTTACTGTTCTACCCCCAGTGCCTAGCACATGGCTTGGCTCCTAAGTAGTGTTTGTTAAATATTTACTGAACCCAGGGGTGCCTCTGTGGCTCTGTGGGTTAGGCGGCCAATTCTTGGTTTCAGCTCAGGTCATGATGTCATAAGTTGTGGGATTGAGCTCGGCATGGGGCTCCAGGTTCAGAGGGGAGTCTGCTTGAAGATTCTCTCCCTCTGCCCCTCCCCCACTCACATGTGCACTCTCTCTAAAATAAATAAATAAGCCTTTAAAAAATATTTACTGAACCTGTAAATGAATGAATGAATGAATGAATGAGAAAACAAATGAACATAGCTTGCAGAAAACTAGGTTGGTGTGTTCCTGGCAAAGGGAGCAATTTAACCTTCAACCTCCCCTGAGAAGCAAGCTTCAGCTGCTTTCTCCCAGGGGCAAACAGGCATGACAAAAAGCCAGGTGGGAGCTGGCAACTGAGGGTGAGAAAAAGGAAACATCATACTACAAGAAGCATAACCAGCTAAGTTGAAAATGCAATGCCCTCTCTAAGTAGATGGGAGAGGACAGTGATATAATTTTCTTCCCCTCTCAGCTCTGGAAAGCTGTACTTTTTTCTCCATACTTCTTCTTTTTTTTTTTTTCTATTGTGTTATGTTAGTCTCCATACAGTACATCATTAGTGTTTTTTTTTTAATTTTTTTTTATTGTTATGTTAATCACCATATATTACATCATTAGTTTTTGATGCAATGTTCCATGATGCGCTGTTTGCACTTAACACCCAGTGCTCCATGCAGTACATGCCCTCCTTAGTACCCATCACCAGGCTAACCCATCCCCCCACCCCCCTCCCCTCTAACACCCTCAGTTTGTTTCTCAGAGTACATAGTCTCTCATGATTCATTTCCCTCTCCAATTTCCGCCCCTTCATTTTTCCCTTCCTTCTCCAAACTTCTTAGGCAATGAGGAAATAGTGGATCTGAAATGTGGTTCTTGCTTCCTGCAGTTTGGAAGTTGAAAAGGGCAAAATTCTATCTGATGAGGACTAGAGTGGTCTGGAGACCTTTGATGGGGCTAAGTAATACTGGGCTGCCTGGGGCCCTGTGCCGCACTTTCATTAAATGTCCTAAACACAACTAACCAATCAATCAATATCCTAAACACAATTTGCCTAGATGCTTATGCTATACCCATATAAAAACAGAGTGGTCTCATGCTCACTTCAGCAGCACGTATACTAAAGTTGGAACATTACAGAGAAGATTAGCATGGCCCCTGTGCAAGGATGACATGCAAATTAGTTAAGTGTTCCACATTAAAAAAACAAAACAAAGCAAACCAGTGGTCTCTGAACATCTACAACTGACTTGGATAGAGACAAGAAAAAATACCCATGTAAAGGAAGAAAGCTAGTATTTACTTAACACCACATGCCAGCACCGTGACACCTATAGTCACACGTACTGAGCAACTACAGTTCCCATCTATGAAATGGAGATAGTCACAACATCTACCCACCTGGTTGTTATGTGGATTAAGTGAGCTAATTCATGTTAGATGTTCTGCAAGTACATGGTATGTAATATGCACTGAATAACAAAATAAGATGCCACAGCACACCACCACCATCATAATCATTATTACTGTCATCATCACCATCATCTATGTGCAGTGTATATTTCAGGTGCTTTCATATCAATTATCATAATGTATCTTCTCCACAACCTTGCATGGCAGAAACGATAGATGAAGAAACTAAAGCACAGTGAGACATCGCAACTTGCCTAAGGTTCTGCAACTGGAAAGAAATGCATCAAGAAATAACAACTAGGGGCACCGGTGTGGCTCAGTCAGTTAAGCATCCGACTCTGGTTTTGGCTCAGGTCATGATCTCAGGGTCATGAGATCGAGCCCTGAGTCAGGCTCTGCATTCTTCATGGAGTCTGCTTGGGATTCTTTCCCTCTTCCTCTCCCTCCTCCTCTGCCCCTCTCGCATCCCTCGTGCACACACTCTCAAATAAATGACATCTTAAAAAAAAATAAAAAGAAAAAAAAGAAATAACAGCTACATCCATTTGAATATTCTTTCACTGTATACACACAAGGCTAAAATAAACTCTGGCCACCACAACTGGTCATAGATATTCAGAAATCCTGACTGATTTACACTAATACCATTTGCACACCACTGTTGGAAGCAAATGTAATTATATCTTAAAATTCCATTTTTATTCCTAGATAAGCAAACAGTTGTGGCTACAGCTGAAAACAAAATCAAGAATATTGTGTGGGATTTGAAGGGAAAAAAACATGCTTTTATAAAAATGTAAATCAAAATTAGAAGTTTTAATGTAAGATATGCCAAAGCTCACTTATGCTTAAGGGAGAAGTGCATTTTCTTTCTTTTTAAAAATTTTTTAAGATTTTATTTATTTATTTGAAACAAAGAGAGAATGAGAGAGAGCATATGAGAGGGGAAAGGGTCAGAGGGAGAAGCAGACTCCCTGCTGAGCTGGGAGCCTGATGCAGGACTCGATCCTGGGACTCCAGGATCATGAGCCAAGCCGAAGGCAGTTGCTTAACCAACTGAGCTACCCAGGCGCCCAGAGAAGTGCATTTTCTATAATGACCCCTCTAACCATGGAACTGGTCTCTTACAGATTTGTATATAGGTAACAAAATTGCCACATTCCGTATTTGCTACAGCTCTTTATCTTTATCAAAGCCTTCACACCCATTCAAAAGGTGGCAACTGAATTCTTCTATGTGCCAGGGACCCAGAAAGAAGCAAGCAGCAGACCCTGTTTCTTGAAGCCATCATAGGCAAACAGCTATTAAAATATAATTAAAAAATTGTTAAGTGAGAATAATACAGAGCGATGTAAAAACATGGTAGTGGGGGAAAACACAATCTTTATTTTTTTTAAGATTTTTTATTTATTTTTTGACAGACAGACACAGCGAGAGAGGGAACACAAGCAGGGGGAGCGGCAGGCAGAGGGAGAGGGAGAAGCAGGCTTCCCGCCAAGCAGGGAGCCCGATGTGGGGCTCGATCCCAGGACCCTGGCATCATGACCCGAGCCGAAGGCAGACACTTAACAACTGAGCCACCCAGGTGCCCCAAAACACAATCTTTAAACAGCTTCACTGAGACATAATTTACATCCATGAAGTCCACCATTTAAAGTAAACAATAAAGTGTATGTGTATATATATATAATTTAATGTTTTTTAGCGTATTTACAGAGTTGTGCAAATAGCACCACTATCTAATTCCAGAATATTTTGTTACCCAGGAACAAAACCCCATACTCATTAGCAGGAACTCCCATGCTCCCCTCCATGGTGCCCCTGTGAACCTCATTTACTTTATGTCTCAATTAATTGGCCTATTCTGGACATTTTATATAAATGAAATCATATAATATATGGCCAATCATGATTGGCTTCCTTCACTTAGCATGATGCTTTCAAGGTTCATCCATGTTGTAGCATACTTCATTCCTTTTTATGAATGAGTAATATTGTATTACAAGGATATACCACCTTTCATCTATCTATTCATCAGTTGGTGGACATTTGGGTTGTTTCTACCTTTTGGCTGATATTAACAAAGCTGTTATAAACACTGACAAGTTTTCATGTGGATATAATGCTTTCAATCATCTTGTATATATACCTGAGAAAGAAGATGCTATAAGTCTCTACCTATATACCTAAGAGGGAACTGTCATGTTTGGTTTTTTGAAGAACTCCCAAAGTGTTTTCCAAACCAGCTGCAACATTTTTTATTCCCATCAGCAGTATATGGGGGTTCCAGTTTTCCAATATTCTTGCCAATACTTGATGATAATTGATGATGATGATGACGATGGTGGTGGTGGTGGTGATGATTAACCTTCATAGTCGGTATGAAGTTTTATCTCATTATGGTCTTGATTGTTATTTCCTTAATTGATAATGATATTGAGCATCTTTTCATTTGTATATACTCTTCAAAGAAATATCTATTCAAATGCTTAGCCCATTTTTATATTGGGTTATTTTTCTTTTTATTATTTGTTTGTAAGAGTTCTCTATATATTCTGCATACAAGGTCATTATTAGATATGATTTTCAGACATGCTCTCCCTTTCTGTGGGTTGGGTTTTCACTTTGTAAAATTTGCAACACTAAAAACTTAATTTGTGTCCTATTATATGGTCTACTCTGCAAGATGTTTAATGTTCATTTGAGAAGACTTTGTGTTCTGCTATTGTTGAGTGATGTGTTTGTCACATTAGGTCATCACTATTAGGCCTACCATGATATTCTCTAGCTCCATCCATGTGGTTGCAAATGGCAAAATTACATTCCTTTTTTATGGCTGAATAATATTCCATTGTATATATGTACCACCTCTTCATCCATTCATCAATGGACACTTGAGCTCTTTCCATAATTTGTCTATTGTAGATAATGCTGCTATAAATATAGGGCTGCATGTATCCTTTTGAATTAGTACTTTCATATTCTTTGGGTAAATACCTAGTAGTGCAATTGCTTGTCATAGGGTAGTTCTATTTTTAACTTTTTGAGGAACCTCCATACTATTTTCCAGGGTGGCTGTACCAGTTTGGATTCCCACCAAAAGTATAACAGGGTTCCCCTTTCTCTGCATCCTCATCAACACATTTTGTTTCCTGTTGTTAATATTAGCTATTCTGACAAGTGTGAGGTGATATCTCATTGTAGTTTTGGTTTGTATCTCCCTGATCACTGATGTTAAGCAGTTTCTCATGTGTTTATAAGCCATCTAGATGTCTTCTTTGTAAAAATGTCTATTCATGTCTTCTGCCCATTTTTTAACTGAATTATTTGGTTTTTGGGTGTGGAGTTTTAGAAGTTCCTTCTATATTTTGGATACTAACCCTCTATCAGATATCTCATTTGCAATTATCTTCTCCTATTCCATAGGCTGTTTTTCAGTTTTGTTGATTGTTTTCTTCACTGTGTAGAAGCTTTTTATTTTGATTTAGTCCCAATAGTTTATTTTCGCTTTTGTTTCCCTGGCCTCAGGAGACTTATCTAGTAAGAACTTTCTTTTTTTTTATTTTTTATTGTTATGTTAATTACCATATATTACATCATTTGTTTTGGTGTACTGTTCCATTATTCATTGTTTGTTCATAACACCCAGTGCTCCATGCAGAATGTGCCCTCTTTAATACCCATCACCAGGCTAACCCATCCCCCTACCCTCCTCCCCTCTAGAACCCTCAGTTTGTTTTTCAGAGTCCATAGTCTCTCCTGGTTCGTCTCCCCCTCTGACTTACTCCCCTTCATTCTTCCTCTCCTGCTATCTTCTTCTTTTTCTTTTTTCTTAAAATATGTTGCGTTGTTTCAGAAGTACAGATCTGTGATTCAACAGTCTTGCACAATTCACAGTGCTCACCATAGCACATACCCTCCCCAATGTCTATCACCCAGCCACCCCATCCCTCCCACCACCAACCACTCCAGTAACACTCAGTTTGTTCCTGAGATTAAGAATTCCTCATATCAGTGAGGTCATATGATACATGTCTTTCTCTGATTGACTTATTTCACTAAGCATAACACCCTCCAGTTCCAGCCACGTCATTGCAAATGGCAAGATCTCATTCCTTTTGATGGCTGCATAATATTCCATTGTGTATATATACCATCTCTTCTTTATCCATTCATCTGTCGATGGACATCTTGGCTCTTTCCACAGTTTGGCTATTGTGGACATTGCTGCTATAAACATTGGGGTGCATGTACCCCTTCGGATCCCTACATTTGTATCTTTGGGGTAAATACCCAGTAGTGCAATTGCTGGATCGAATGGAAGCTCTAATTTCAACTGTTTGAGGAACCTCCATACTGTTTTCCAGAGTGGTTGCACCAGCTTGCATTCCCACCAACAGTGTAGGAGGGTTCCCCTTTCTCCACATCCCCGCCAACATCTGTCGTTTCCTGACTTGTTAATTTTAGCCATTCTGACGGGTGTGAGGTGGTATCTCATTGAGGTTTTGATTTGGATTTCCCTGATGCCGAGCGATGTTGAGCACTTTTTCATGTGCCTGTTGGCCATTTGGATGTCTTCTCTGGAAAAATGTCTGTTCATGTCTTCTGCCCATTTCTTGATTGGATTATTTGTTCTTTGGGTGTTGAGTTTGATAAGTTCTTTATAGATTTTGGATACTAGCCCTTCATCTGATATGTCATTTGCAAATATTTTCTCCCATTCTGTCGGTTGTCTTTTGGTTTGTGGACTGTTTCTTTTGCTATGCAAAAGCTTTTTATCTTGATGAAATCCCAATAGTTCATTTTTGCCCTGGCTTCCCGTGCCTTTGGTGATGTTTCTAGGAAGAAGTTGCTGCGGCTGAGGTCGAAGAGGTTGCTACCTGTGTTCTCCTTTAGGATTTTGATGATTTCAGGTCTCACATTTTGGTCTTTAATCCATTTTGAATTTATTTTTGTATTTGGTGGTCCAGTTTCATTCTTTTGCATGTTGCTCTCCAGTTTTCCCAACACTATTTGTTGAAGAGACTGACTTTTTTCTAGTGGATATTCTTTCCTGCTTTGTCAATGATTAATTGACGATATAGTTGTGGGTTCATTTCTGGGTTTTCTATTCTGTTCTATTGATCTAGGTGTCCATTTTTGTGCCAGTACCATACTGTTTTGATCACTACAGCTTTCTAATATAACTTGAAGTCCAGAATTGTGATGCCTCCTGCTCTGTTGTTTTTTTATCTCAAGGTTGTTTTGGCTATTCAGGGTCTTCTGTTGTTCCATACAAATTTTAGGATTGCTTGTTCTAGTTCTGTGAAAAATGCTTTGGTATTTTGATAGAGATTTCATTAAATGTGTAGATTTAGGCATTTTAACAATATTTGTTCTTCCAATCCATGAGCACAGAAAGTCTTTCCATTTCTTTGTGTCAGCTTCAATTTCTTTCATCAGTGTTTTATAGTTTTCAGAGTACAGGTCTTTCACCTCTTTGGTTATTCCTAGGTATCTTATCATTTTTGGTGCAATTGTAAATGGGATTGTTTTCTTAATTTCTCTTTCTGGTGCTGCCTATTGGTGTATAGAAATTCAACAGATTTCTATATGTTGATTTTGTATCCTGCAACTTCACTGATTTTTTTTTCAGTTCTAGCAGTTTTTTGGTGGAGTCTTTCAGGATTTCTGCATATAGAATCATGTCATCTGCAAATAGTGAAATTTTTACTTCTTCCCTCCTGATTTGGATGCCTTTTATTTTGTTTGTTGTTGTCTGATTGCTGGGGCTAAGACTTCCAGTGCTATGTTAAATAACAGCGGAGAGGGTGGACATCCTTGTCTTGTTCCTGACCATAGAGGAAAAGCTCTCAGTTGTTCCCCATTGAGGATGATATTAGCTGTAGGTTTTTCACAGATGGCCTTTATTATGCTGAGGTATAACTCAGTCAGAGAAAGACAGATACCATATGATTTCACTCATATGTGGAATTTAAGAAACAATACAGGTGAGCAAAGGGGGAACAGAGAGAGAGGTATAAACCAAGAAATGTATTCTTAACTATAGAGGGGAAGCTGACGGTTACCAGAGGTGAGGTAAGTAGGTGGGGATGGGTAAAATAGATGATGGGGATTAAGGAGTGAACCTGTTGTGATAAGCACTGGATGTTGTATGGCAGTGGTGAATCACACCTGAAACTAATATTACACTGTATGTTAACTAACTACAATTTAAATGAAAACTTTAAAAAAAAGTCTATTAGGTCTAGCTGTTTTATTTTGTTATTCAACTCTTCTATTTCCTTGCTGATCCGTCTAGTTGTTCCATATAATGGATAGAACCTTCCAACTATTATTGTTGAACTACTTTTCTATATTTTGGTACACATATGTTTATACCTGTTCTATCTTCTTGATTGATTAATCCTTAATTATAACAATATGTCCTTTATCTCTAAAACTAGTTTTGTCTTAATGTCTATTTTGATTAAAATTAGAAGGAGCTAATCTAGGCTCTCTTTTGATTGCTGTTTGCATAGAATATCTTTTTCCATCCTTTCAGTTTTAACCTATTTGTGTCTTAGAATCCAAAGTGAGTCTCCTGTAGACAGCATATATGTATACCTTGTTTTATTTATCTGTGCTGACAATCTCACTTTTTGATTTATTTAATTTATTGTCATTTAATGTTATTGTTGCTATAGTTAGAATTACCTCTTCCATTTTGATTTTTTTGTTTTCTTATTTCTCATTACCACTTTTTCCTCCATGACTCGTTTGCCACCTCTTTTGCTAAAGTAGGTATTTTTTTATTTTAAATTCAATTAGCAATCATATAATACATCATTAGTTTTTGATGTTAATGTTTAATGATTCATTAGTTGCATATGTATTTTCTAGTGAACAATCTTAACTGTGTTTTAAATTTTTGTAAACTATATTTACATTTTTTTTCTCAGTGGGGGCACCTGAGTGGCTCTGTCAGTTAAGCACCTGACTCTTGATTTTTGGCTCAGGTCATGATCTCAGGGTTGTGGGACTGAGCCCCACGTTGGGCTCTGCACCAGGCGTGGAGCCTGCTTGGGATTCTCTCTTTCTCTCCCTCTCCAAAAAAAAAATTTTCTCAGTGGTTGCTCTGGGGTTTCTAACATGCATCTTAAATCATCAGAATCTACCTCAGGTTTATACTAAATTCCAAGAGGTTATAAAAACCTTATTCTTCTACAGATCCAGTCTCCCCTTATATAACTATTATACATAATTTGTCTCTGTATTACCAAACAATGCGTGTTTATACTTTTTGCTTTATATAATCATATGTCTATATTTAATAGCTTATTTAAAACTAGTAAAGGAGAGCACAGTTACAGAGATTTTTATATTAATCATATT